AGACCAGGCTCCTATCTAAAGACTCAGAACTGCACTTTCATTGGTCACCGGGACATAAAAAAACTGCTTGTATAGAAACTTTAGTAAAATATGATAAAAATTGCTGAAAAAGTTTGATGACTTTGCCCCAAAAATAAGGTTTAAAAGGTCTTTTTTCCCACAGGTTATACGTTTACTACGCATTCGCAATGGTTCTCGTCTCCACTGTCGCAAACCTCAACTGTGCGCATGCGTCAGTGGAACCAGACGATAGGTTTACATGATTCCCGGCTTGACTGTTAAAAGCAGACTATTGGCTTTCCAGCAGCAGGGGCGGGGCTTGTGAAGTCAACCGCCATCTTTGGCGTTACGGGTTTTCCCTATATTGTATTGAGGATTGACTAAGTTTTATGTAGCGCCAACTCGCCAAGTTTGGTGAAAATATCTAATTCTGTTCACAAGATATAGCCATTTTAGTAAAGGTGGCTCCTCCCACTTAAAATGTTTTGGCAGCCCTTAGAGACTGTGAATCGAAATTTCAACTTTTTTTTGATAATTATTGACAATCAGGCTCCAGAGAATCTTTCTGCCCTGGGTTGGTCCCGATCAGGCCAAAAACCAAGGACGAGTTTGCAAAACAACGTTTTTCAAAAAATCCAAAATACACGGAAAGTTCGCAGGACGACGATCAAATCCAAGGCATGTCCGTCTTGAGCCAAGGATTTCAACGATATGAGAATTATGAGCGTCTTCGTACTTTTCAAGACTATAGCGCCACCGTCAGGCCAATCAGGGCGAGCCTTGGTGACGTTGTAGTCGGTGTGAGGACTACTAGCCCTCAAAGTCTCTACGACTTACCGTTTGCTCTTCCTTATCGCTTTTAGGGAAGAATGCTGATACTCGAACAAATGTATTTAATGTATGCGTTTATATAAAGGTACGAATATGCATGTTTACTAGAACCAAAATACAAATAGCAACGACATGAGATCATGTTTACAATGTCTCAAGACTTCACGAGCTAATTTAAATCCCAAGAACATCCTGATAAATTTGAACGAGTCCTTTTTATAGCAAATCGCCAAGACTTACGTGCATGCTTTCTTGCTTACGTCGCAACTTAAAATAATCACATGTGGAGATGGTCGTGCGTTGCATTGAAGAGATGCACTGAAGCTCGTAAAAGGGCCTTAAGAGTGCTGTAAGTCGCTTGAATAAAAGAACTAAATTATTGTTTCTGTTCTGTTTACAATGCTGAGAACTTTAATTTCATCTCAGCGGACCTTCCCCAGTCTAGAAAATGACAGGTATTTAGTTAATAACCAAGAAGTGCTGCATATAGTGCCAGAGCAGCAAAGCTGTATCCCCTGAAATGTCTGTTTGTTTATGTAGATGTCAGGAAAATGTCTGTTGTTCCCCTAACAGTCAACAGAGGGCATCCTCTCTGGAATTCTGTGTTTATCAAAAACTCGTCACCATGGTTACCACACACCTGTGTTGCATTTGGAGCTCATTAGTCAACCGTTAAATGCTCCCTTTGTTTCAAAGGTCATTTGTGAAGTCTTAGTTGTAAGTTGTTGGATTAATATGGTCCTGAGCAGCTGTCTTTGTGCATTCTGTTATCGAACATTGTCGTTTTGACCTTGTCTGCATCTTGGATTTTATTCTCATTCCATTGCAACATTGTATGGGCTATTATTGATCTGGTGGCAAAAATTTTAAGTAACAGATATCAACATTACTGTTTGCCTGTAGGTTGTTGCTGAAGTTGGTATTGTATTGGCTAGAAACTGCTGACTTTCTAGTATACGGAGCTCATTTCTGAAAATGGAATGTCAGCAAAGTCTCATTAACGTTAAAACTTCACATTGAGTGATGACAGATTCTCAGGATCAAGCTCTGCATATCTTTCCTCGGCTTTGACTGATGGTCTATTTTCTTTAACTTTTCCCTCATACTGTAAGTTTAATTAAAAGCTGACATTTTGTTTGAATGCCAATGAACATTGGGATTATGGGATGGCAGGGTGTGTACTGATAGAAATTACTCTTAAACTAAATCAAAATATCTGCTAATTTAAAACGCACACAATTCTCTACAGACACGATTTGATCAAATATATTATCAGTTTATGAAAATGTATGAACTAATGTGAAATACCGTGAGTGGGATTTCACCAAGTGCAACATGTTCCTGGATCAACATCTTTGTTGATACTGAAACAACATTCCAATCAACCAATCAGATTGAGGGAGAGTTTAGAGTTTTGTCAAGTTTAGGCTTACAAGCTTCTACATCAGTGTTAGTTTAGGTGTAGGGATAGGTACTATGCTTTTAGACAGGAATCTTGTTCCAGGGTCCATGAACAATATCTTATCAGTGCTGGAAATTAGAAAAGTAATCAAAAAGTAATCAAATGTAATCCGTCACATTACTTTATTAAAGTAATTGAAGTAGTTACACTACTTGATACATTTTAAATAGGGTAACTTGTAATCTGTAACCTATTAAATTTCCAAAGTAACCCTCTCAACACTGGCTATAGTTATGGATGGGGTTATTATAGGTGGACCTTCATGCTTAGATTTGTAAAAGAAAAAAAAAAGTACACTTTGTATGATTCACATCATATAAATTCATTTGAAATCGGCATCTCCTAAAATACTTTTTTTGTGTGTGTGAGATTGGGTTGTGTTATCCAAGTCTTTAAAGGTTCAGACACATTTACTGTTGCTCGACACATTTCCATCCTTGTTGCTCAAAGTCAATCCAATCAGCGAAAGCGTTCGGCACACAGATTTCAGCCATGTTCAACTTTGTCATGTAAATTAGCTGCGCTAACCAAAACTGACTTTATGCGCGAGATATGTTTCATCTCTAAGCTATTTCATGTAACAATGACCAATAGACATGTATTGCATGCAAACGTTCCACTAATATGACTGGACCTTAAAGGGATAGTTCACTTTGAAATTAATTTTTGATATGTTTTATCTTACCTCAATGGCATCCAAGATGTAGTTGTCTTTGTTTCCACAGTATTTTCAATTTTGATATTTTTAGGTCAAACCGATCTTATAAGTCAGTCATATAATGGAGGTCTATGGTCACCACCTCAAAGAGCATGCACAGAGAAGTCCAAATTAAACATGATTTAATGACTCGTAAATGTAACATTGATGGCCTAAGTGGTTTGTGTGAGAAAACGAACACTTTATATCATTTTTACCTCTTGTAACCACAGCCACAAAGCGCCCACGCCCTCAGATCACTTGGACGTGGCTGTGGTTACAAGAGGTAAAAATTATATAAATACTGTTCGTTTTCTCACACAAACCGCTCGTTTCGTGTCTTAGGCCATCGTTGTGTACTTACATTTACGAGTTATTAAATCATGTTTAATTTGGACTTCTCTGTGCATGCTTTTTGAGGTGGTGACCATAGACCTCCATTATATGACTGACAGACAAGAACGGTTTGACCTAAAAATACTGCGGAAACAAAGACACCTACATCTTGGATGCCCTTGAGGTAAGCTAAAACATATCAAAAATGTGTTTCAAAGTGAACTTTCCCTTTAAGGGATTGTAAAGCGTCATGGCATCTTCAGTGCATAAACAAATTATTGCAACATTTCTTAAACCTGTAATTACCTTCCTTTAAAACAAATTAGCCACTTAAGAAGTGTTTTGCTTCCACGAATAAGCTTCAGTTCCATACTCGTTTAAAAGTGCACCCTAGATCTTTAATTATACAGCAGCTGATTCCCCAGGTTCTCATCAAGTCCTCTGATTACATTTCAGGTCAACAGATTACGGAACCACTTATGAGAAACTCAATGAAAAGGTGGGCGTGAAGACCATCCTCAGCTATCTGTACGTCAGCCCCAACAACAAGCGCAAGGTAAGATTTATGGCATTCGTTCCCTCCGCCTGGCACACCTACACATTGTTAGTCTTCATGATGTCTCTTTTACAAAGATGTCAACACACACTGTAAATGATTTCTGTTGTTTTCACAGGATTATACTGTTTTTCTCAACAGTTTCTTACTGTATAATCTATGTACAGTAAGTTACAGTATATTTAGTTGTTTTCACAGTATTAAATTGTTTTTTCAACAGTTATGTACTGTGCACACAGTTGACAGTATGTTACTGTAGAATTTCAATGCATTCTGGGAAATTATCAGTTACTGTTAATCTAAATACAGTGCAAATTGACCGCGAAAAACACCACACACAGTTCCACGGAAAAATTGCTAGCCTACTAATGTTATTCTTACATTTAAAAATAAAAATGTAGCACTGGTTGACCATTAACAGTCATAATTTATGACATAATTTATGTCAGTGGGGTGTGCATGAAAGCATATTTGACTTTGGAAGAGTTTCTGTCGTGTCAGTGGTGCTGCTGTCTTTTCTGCCGACCTGCAACTTCTTCATCTGGTAAGTAATAATTCTTATAATGTGTATACGGATTCTAGCTAATAACTTTAAAGTTTTTTAGAATAGCTGACCACGATTTCTACATTCAATTTAATCTATTCTAGACATTTTAATATATATGTATATATAGGCTACTCTTCAATGTAGCCATTTGGGGCATGTTACTGAAAATTCAAATACATTAGTACGAAATGACCGCGAAAAATAACCACAACCAGCTGCCATTTTATGAAGAACTCTTCAGTTCCCTTCTCTCTGTAAGAACGTGCAGGCCGTGCATCGCGTCGCTGTCGGCAACGTTTTCGCCATACATATCTGGTTAGTAATTCATATTTTTATGCAAACCATATGAGTTACGTACGTTAACAGATTAACGTTAGAAAGAACTGGCCGCGGAATGTTATAAGCCTAGCATAAGTCAGACGCGGATTTCTTTCATCTTGATAGCCTAACTTACTTGATTAAATATGTGATTTTATTAACATATATTTCATATGTAACCTCTTATAAGGTCAAAATGGTCTAATCATTTTGTTATTTACCACGTTAAGTCGGTGAAAGCGCCTGCACGTTCATTATTTTATAACTTATAGGGGTTAGGAATTGAAAATCGATATCCTGAAATCGGATATCCAAGGTTAGGATTCGGATTTATTGTTATAAAATTAAAGTGTCAATTCCTCTTATTGATTTTTTCACGCTTTTTTTTTTCGTGTAAATCCTGACCTGGCGTTCTGCCATTTAACGTTAACGTTACCTCAGTGATAACTGATGGACCACGGAAAGCGCCCAGGTTTTTGTCCAAAATATTAAGTCATGTATCACACAAGCAAGATTTAACCTACGTTTTCACGTGATCGTAAATGAATTGATGTTGAGTTATGTTTCAGCTTGCGTTGCATTCAAAAGAAAAGAGTGGACGATAGAGATGAGTTATCTTTAGCCGTTCTTGGCATATTTATTTCAGCTGTTGACACTAGCCGCGTTTCCACTGCCGGGCTAGGGCTGGGCCAGAGCTAACAGCGAGCCGGGCCGAGCTAGTGGCCTCGGGCCTCAAGCACCGGGCTTGCGTTTCCACTGCCGGGCCAGTAGCCCCACAGCGCTGCCCCAGACCCCACCCCTAACACGCCTTTCAGGATCAAACGTCATAAAACCCAACCCATTTCAGCGGGTATTATGAATTAATTTATTTTTTAAATTAGGAAGATAGCATGTATATTAACTCAACTGCCGTAGTGGCTACAATAGTGTCCCGAGACCAGTACAGGCGATTCTCCATTTCAAGCAGCGATTTTTTGCGCGATATAACAAGTAGGCTAGGGCTGCGGGCACATTTTCAAGTTATTCATTAATCGTTAACCGAGGCCCATCGGTTAATACTCGGTGCATAGTGTGCGCGCCGCAACCTCGAGATACGGAGTTAATTTTTTAACACCTTTAATAACTGATTGGACCCCATTTGAAACGAAATTAATTTATAGAAATAAAACGCAGCAAGTACGGAGCAGTTAAAGCCCCATTTCCATCACCCTTCAAACTGAAATTGCCAATTGAAAATAAGCAAAACGTCCATTTCACAAAAACTCCGTGTCTGCAAATAATAATAATAATAATAACCATCATCATCATTATTGTAACATTTTATTAGGCTGCATATGTAGAAGACGCCTTTAGCCTATCCAAAAAAGGAATAGCACAAATAAACACAATATTTTTGACAAATATCAGCGCATATCCAGTGTGTGTGTAGCACGCACTGATGGCTGCGAGACGCCCATGTGAACAGTTTCATTGCATTTCTTTCAGTGGAAACAACTTAAAATACTCTTTAATTTCTGGTCATACAGAAAATAATAATACATTATTCGCAAATAAATTTATTTATAACAAGAAAACGTTGTGCTTTAACAATTAATCAAGGCGCGCTTCATGATCTCCGTGAACTGAAGCGCGAGACCTGAAACAGCCACCGCATTCGAATTTGTTCGTTTTAAATTGGACATTAAAGCTTAAAGCTTTAAATGTCCAATTTAAAACGAACAAATTCGAATCGAAAGCCAATATCTTCTCCGTTTATGTAGCTTAATTTCTCTCTAAATGTGCATCCGGAGATGGAGATATGTTTTTAGCCGAAAATCATTTAGAAAACAATAGTTTATTAATAAACAATTAATGCCTCGTTATTTTATATTATTTTATTATCAGACACATTTATTATAGCCTATAAATCACCCATAAATCCCCTTTCTGTAGGCTGTGGTTACGGCTCTTCTCATTCAGCACTGCGGGGAAAATATCATTTCCAGGTTCTAATTTGGCCTCAGAAAACCAGTAAAATATATATTTTTTCATATTAATTTGTCAAATAATTTAAATGTTTAAGGGGCAAAAAAATCAAACAAATATCTGAAAATTCGTCGATATGTAGCTATATATAGCCTATATATTGTTGCGCAGCATTTGGCATAGGCCTACAGTTCAAATTAAAATGTTATGCAATTTTAAACGGTTAATCGGTTAAACATGGACACCCCTATGTGCATCTTGCTTCAGATCATAACGTTCCATAACACCGATAAACTCCGCCTTTTACCTTGAGCACGCCTCTAGCCCGAGCTGGCCCCCTCTGGCCCAAGGTATTCGACGGGCCAGAAATCCTGGCCGTTGGCCCCGAGGAAGCCCCGATCAAGCCCCGGAAGTGACAGTGGAAACGCGACTGGCCCTGGCACGCACTAGCACGGCCCGGCCCTGGCCCGGCAGTGGAAACGCGGCTACTGACACATCAGTCTCTAATGAAGATTCTCTCAGTAATATGATCCTCTTAACTACGGTAAATCAACTTGGACAAACATAATAATAATACAAACGCATCCTCCATAGCCTATACTTTAGTGCCCTCTTGTGGCATAAACATATGCACAACACTGAACAGTATAGCATTGCATTATATTACACAGCATACAACTGAGGACATAATGAACATACTTTAACAATTGATTTTAAACAACAGTCCAACAAACAAGATTTTAGTATTAAGTGAATTACACTTTAGACATAATTTTGTCTGTTTTTGCTGTTTAGCCAAAACAACAACAACAAAAACGTACTGTATTTTAACTGTCTTGTCTGTTCTCCTTTTCCACAGGTGTGAGCTGTGCATGTTAAGAAGACCCCTATCCATCTTGACGACCGATGAATTGTAAATCTAATCTAATTTAATTATTCTATTTATCTAACTACTACTACTATACCTTGGTCCAGCACTGACCCACTGAGAACATTTTAAACAGATTATTATCCATCTGTGAATTTTGTCTATCTGCAAGTTGTTAAGAATTGTTGTGTGAAAATAAACGTTGTTGTACAGTTTAAGGTTTAATTGCATAAAAGCTTGGATAGAAAACTTCCTATTGCAAAAGTTAGAACATAAGTCTACATATAAATGATTATTAATACCATAATGCAAGTTTTTCATGGCACATGTGCATGATGAGGTTGTTTTGTGTTTAGTTTTTTTTTTTTTAAAGGACACTGGATAACTTGTCATTTTGTAATACTCATCTGGATTGGTGGTTTACTTGTCAAAGCTTTTATAGTTTATAAGTTTATATGTGTCTCGCAGCCCTGCAAATCTGGTCCCTTAGATAGAAAGCAGCCAAAAACCCTTTAAAATCAGCAACTGACCAGTTAGACAGTCTATCTCAAACCAATAGACAATCTTAGACTAGTTTAAGCTGTTTTACCCCAGCAGGGAGTGGGTGGATGAGTTGTTATGAACTATCTTTCTAATAGATTGATCAGATAGCACCCCTTTAATCTTTACCTGATATTTTTTTTGCATGTATTTATGCATAATTGTTCATTTTGATTTTTATTGTATTATATTACATTTTTATTATTAATGTATTTAATTGTATTAATGTATTTAAATGTATATTATAAATGCGCTAATGTGTTTGAAAATACACAATAAACCTTGTGCAGTTAAAGCTTCAATTGTTCTTTTTTCTATTTCCCATTAACAGTTAAAATAATATTTCTACGGATTTTCTACAGGTTACACAGTAGCACTATAAAATAAATACAATAACATTTCATACTACACAGTATTATTAAAAATTAACAGTGTAATTCTGTACTTTAATATGGTAAGAAATTACAGTAAAATAATGTTATTTAATTTACAGTATGCTTAACAGTACTGTTGTTAGTGTTACAGTAATTTTACTGTTAAATGAAATACAGCAAGTACTGGATAATTGTTGCCAGTAAGTTACTGTTAATTTGACAAGAAATTTTTTACAGTGCAGTTTTCAAGGTGATTATGTTTATATGCATGCGTAGCTCAAACCCCCTGCTCATTTATGACCGCTAAATGCGTTGGAAGGATTCCACAGGTCTTCTTGGCTCAGTGCGCTGTTGGCTAATTTATCCTCTAGTAGTATTTACTAACCTC